GTATACCCAGGAGTACATGAGTGAAAATGCAGTAGATTAATTGGTTAAAAGAGTCATTTCTTCTATTACATGATTCAGTCAATAAATATATACAAACCAAGCCATGAAATCATTTTCTGGATAAGAGTGGGCAAAATACCACATAATTTCATTAACCTTTAAGCAATGAAATTATAAATCCCTATGCAAATGATTAAGGTTATCATTGCCTATCACCCCCTTTTGATACCTACAGACTGTTAATTCTTCTCTGTCCTGCTGAGTCTTATTAAAACTTCTGACTGATGTCCTTTCAATGTACATTAAAAGGTTTAGAATTTACCAATTTAAAACACTTGCTTCACACTATCACCTCTAATTTAACTAGGCCATTAAACACAGTATTTTGCAAAGGGAAAAAGTCAATGGCTGTTTCTTTCAAAAAATAATAAGTTGAAATAAATTTTAAACTCTTCTTAGAGGTGAGCAACTGTTACATACTACTAGGTCTTTTGATAGTTCATTTGTTCCTTTAGTTTGAAAATGTCAAGTTTACAAAGCGGCTGCTTTTATTTAAGAAATACGCTTGGAGGCTAGATTGGTAAGCTTTAGGCAGATATCTGGTTTGGTGTGAAATACATAGTTGTTAAAGGACCATGTGAATTGGGTCCCAGAAGATGAAGAGTAGAGCGGAAACAGATTGGAGAAAACTGTTTCATTTCATTTGGCTAAAAATATCACTAAATTAAAAATGAAGACAATGAATGATGGCAATACAAAGAAAATTAATATGAATAAGTCATATTTTGGTGTAGATATTGTGAAAAGTTCTGACTTGTGAGACATTTAAAGGAAAGGGCTTACTGTGTCTCTGACCAAAAAAACTTGGCTCCTCGTTCTGGAAGCAGCTCCTAAGAGCTCTTTAGCTTTGCGGGAGAAGACTCTTTCAAGGAGGAATAGATCAGCCCCCCTAATCAGTAGCATCACTTCTGTTCAATGAGATGACAGATGTCATAGAACATCCTCTCATTCAAAAGAAAAAGACTCAAGGTTGCTATCTTAGGTTGGATACTGTGGGTAATCTGGTCTGCAAGTGTTAAGAAGAGAATGTAATAGACTTCTGGCTTTGGGGAAGCTTTATATCACTGATCTTTTGGAATCTCTGACTTCCAAACAGGTTTTCTTTTTCCTTAAATAATTTTAAAAACTATGAAATACATTTTTTAATGATAGCATGTAGAATCTTCTTTACTTTTTTTTTTGTAAGTGCTTCTATCTGTCTTTTTTACATGTTTTTAAGCACTTAGGCTCAGAATGATATTCTAATAGCATCATTTAGCAATTGAAATGGCCTCTGTATATGCCTGTTTGTTGGGTATCTCTCGTGATGGATGGTGAGGAACAGAGGGTAGGGTTGATGACTGGTGTGTGAAGGTGGAATGCTAGTGTCTTTCATTGAGCCTGGAAGTCCCTAACCCCTTTACCATCAAGGATGCCCTCTTTTCAGGTATAGATGTATGAATAAATAGATTTCCATACCTTTTTCTATTCAGCATCACTTTATTTTTATTTTTGGACTTTAAGATTATTTTTCAAACTTTTGAATAGTTACTGTGTACACTTGGATGAATTGTGGTTCTTTGTTAAAATTAAGGGTACGCAGTATCCTCAGCCAGTTCTTAAAAAAGATTCAAAAATGCTATTCAGTACTTGTCAGGCTTCTCTTATAAAGGCAGAGCATGTATCATAAAACGACAACTCAGTCTAGGTGTGTGTATTTTGATATTTGGAAATAATGAGGTTGCGATACTTTGTCTTCTGTGCTCATCTCTCAAATAAAGAGGTCTGAGTAGATGCCCCTATGGTGCTTTCCCAGTCTTGATTCTCTAAGATCACGACTAACTTTGAGAATTGGAGTGAACATCATTGTGACATACTAGATAGATGTAGGCCATTCTCCCTAGCCTCGGTCTCCTCATCTTGTTTGTTACTTTCATATCATGTATAGTGAAATGATACTGCTGTTATGCTAATCTCCATGCATTCTTTCTCATCTCCCCAAAATTAAGCTTCAGCAGGGCAAACTTTGTCTTGTTCACTGCTGAATTCCCACCACCAGCTGCAATGCCTGGTAGATGCTCAGGAAGTGAATTATTTTTCGAGAGAATACACTACATGATAATTATTTCAAATAGGCCATCTCAAAAACGCCACCCTCCCTCATTTGATTGTCTTCTTAGCCTTTCTCTTTCTCTTCATTTTTTTTTTTTTTTTGTGACACATCTCAACCTTCTCTCTGAGGCTGTGACTTATTCACAGTACTTGGAAGGTTCTTCATCCTTGTTTCTTTCTGATATAGGTTATTCTAAGTCTGTGATTACTGTTTAGAATACATCTTTTAAATCTTTTAAAACCGGGTTGGGTAATCTTGTGATTTTGTGCTTTGTACACTGTTTGTACACTTTTTGCGTTGCTGGCTCCTCCTTTTTGGGAGAGTTACTATGTTAGTTTTGACCTTTCTAGTATCCATATACCTAAGGATTCTGACTTTAGTATATACAGAACAGGAAAGTCACAATATCCACCCTTGGGTATATGGTAACATCTTATTCTCTTTACTGTGCACAGTTTGCAGAGAACATAAGGCTGTGTAAGTTAAGTAACAGTTTAAAACTGATGTAATGCTCTCCCAGAAAGTAATACTGTTCTTAAGATATTTATCCTAGATCTACAAATGTCTATGTACCTCCATTGTTTCCTTGGGGTGAAAACCCCAAACCTGGACTGATTACCCATATGCATTCCAACCTGCCTCTGAGATTTTAGACTGTCCTCAGCAAAGGTTCTTGACAGGTTTTTTTGCATTGTGGACCTTTTTGCAAATCTGACTATTGATCTTCTCTACAGAGAGATGCGTTTACATAAACTCACAAAATTTTTTTTGAAGAAAAGCAAAATATTTATTTTATTATTTTTTGAAGTTATACACTGAAATATTTTATATGAAAGAAGGCATGAGAGTTCAAAATAAGAAAAACGTGCATTATATAATAATTGACACCTTTTTAAAATTTATTTTCCTTTACTTATAAAATATTTTGGAAAATAAATATTGCCTCAAAAAATAACCATTTTGTTCTTTTCTTCATAATTGTTGATATAATGACTAATCATGTATTCTTCAATGATGCTTTATTTTTTTTAAGTTTATTGGGGGTAACATTGGTTAATATAATTATATAATTTTCAGGTGTACATTATAGTTTGACACCTGTATATTCTATTGTTTATTACCTAAAGTCTAGTTTCCTTCAGCTACCATATATTTTATCCCCTTTACCCACTTCACTCTCCCTCCCCCATATTTGACTCCCTTTACCCCCTCTGCCTCCCCACTCTTCCCCCACCCCACTAGTAACCACTAGTCTATAGTCCTCTGGTAACCAATAGTTTGTTCTCCATGTCCATGAGTCTCTGTTTGTTTGTCCTGCTCATTTGTTGCTTTTAGGTTTATATCCCACATATAAGTGATATCATGTGATTTTCAACTTTTTCTGTCTGGCTTATTTCGCTTAGCATGATTATCTCGAGGTCCATCCATGTTGTCGCAAATGGCAGTGTTTCATCTCTTCTTATGACTGAGTAATATTCCATTGTATATATGTACCACAACTTCTTTAGCTAATCATCTGTTGTAGGACACTTTGATTCCTTCCATGTCCTGGCCACTGTAAATAATGCTGCTATGAACATTGGTGCGCAAATATCTTTTCGGATATGAGTTTTCAAGTCTTCGGGGTAAATACCCAGTAGAGGGATTGCTGGATCCTATGGTAGATCAATTCTTAGTTTTTTGAGGAACCTCCATACTGTTTTCCGTAGTGGCTGTACCAATTTGCAGTCCTACCAGCAGTGTATGAGGGTTCCTATTTCTCCACATCCTCTCCAACATTTGTTATTACTTGTCCTGTTGATTATACCCATTCTAACAGGTGTGAGATGGTATCTCATTGTGGTTTTGATTTGCATTTCCCTAATAGCTAGCAATGTTGAGCATCTTTTCATATATATGTTGGCCATTTATATGTCCTCTAGGAGAAGTGTCTATTCAGGTCCTCTGCCCATTTTTTGATTGGATTATTTTTTTTTTTTATTGAGTTGTATAAGTTCTTCGTATATTTTGGATATTAGGCCCTTATCGGAGGTGTTGCTTGCAAATATATTTTCCCATTCAGATGGTTCTCTCTTTACCTTGTTGACAATTTCTTTCGCTGAGCAAAAGCTTTTTAGTTTGATGTAGTCCCATTCATTTATTTTAGCTTTTACTTCCCTTGCTTTTGAGGTCAAATTCATAAAATCCTCTTTAAGTCCAAGGTCTTTGAGTGTAGTTCCTATGTTTTCTTCTATGCATTTTATTGTTTCAGGTCTTATATTTAGATTCTTAATCCATTTTCAGTTAACTTTGGTGTGTGGTGATAGACAACAGTCTAATTTCATTCTTTTGCATGTGGCTTTCCAGTTTTCCCAGCACCGTTTATTGAAGAGGCTTTCCTTTCTCCACTGTATGTTTTTGGCTTTTTTGTCGAAAATTATTTGCCCATAAAAATATGGGTTTACTTCTGGACTCTCAATTCTGTTCCACTGGTCCATGTGTCTGTTTTGCTGCCAATACCATGCTGTTTTCATTACTGTCACTTTGTAAATTCACAAATTTTACATGTATCATTGAGGAGTATATAGATTCCTGAAGGCCATCCGTGTACCAATGTTAAGGACCTCTAATCTGAATTATTATTATTGTTATTTGAGTTATAATTGATTTCGGAAGTCCTTGGAAAGACTGACAGAAGCTCTCATTAGTTAAAACGCAGAACATTTCTGTTTTTGGAGATTCTTCTTCCATCTCATGATATCCAAGAATCAGACTGCTAGATCATTCAAGTAAACTGTTGTCCAGATCAGGATTCAGAATTCAAGCTGGGTTTATTTTGAAGGTAACTATGCCCTTCGTGATCTCTCAGGTACCTCTGCATTATCCAGATCAGACATGTAAAGAGAGACATCAGTGTAACTGGATCATCCGGTAAGCACATGTTACTTCATTTTTATTTCTCCATAGATTCTGTCCTCTGGCAGTGTGGCATTATTTCCTATCATCTACTCTTCACTGCAGTGTGGGTCAGTAAGATGATAAGTATTTCTCAAGAGAAGGAAGAAGCCTTTTTAAAATTTTACCAGATGACTTCCTCTGGTGCTTGGAAGTCAGATTTCTTTATTTTTATTTTATCTCATTATTATTTCATATATTCACACTTCTATTGTAGATAAAAATTCCCCACTCTTCTTTTTATGTATATACTTTGGAGAGTTGTGGACAGCTCTCATATTGTTCCTTGGTTGTCAGCCAAGTTATACACATTTAATTCCTTTAATCTTTCTTTGTAATTCAGTCGGCTTGGCTGCTTTTTCTAGATTTCTCTCCATTTCATCCGCATCATTAATAAACAGAAAAAACAGGCTATTGGCTAGCTTCTTTTACACCTTTCATTCTTTTTGCTTCCTGTTTTTACCTCATATTACTTGTTGAACTAAAGCCAGCTAGACATCATTTTCTGGACCACTTTGGCAACACATGAATGCTTGCCTACAACTATCAGTGTCCCACGTGGTAATAGCATCAGCAGTATATCCTAGAGGAAAGAAAGGAAATGTAAAAGGAGAACAGTGCGGAGCAAAATAAAGCATTCTTTGATCGTATGGCAGACTCACCCTTGCCACCTAGAGTAAATCGTTGTACCTTAAACCTTTACCCACAGGTTTTGTGGTCCCAAAGCATTGTGCAGGGGCACTAATTTGCATAATAAGGGAAGCATGTATATCGTTTGAAGTTTGGCCACAGTTCTCACTTGGTTTCTTCCCCAGGTTCTCCCTCCCCCATTGCCTTTCCTAACACTAATCATGACTTGCTATGAGAATCTGTGGCCATGAACAAAACTGGGCAGGGGATCATTTTGTCAGAAATTAGATAGGCTCAGGTGGTAAATGCTCCATGCCTCCATGCAGAACATCTGAGGCAAGTGCTTTAGTTCTTGCTATTTCTCTGATAGCCGTTGGTCTTCTTTTAACAGCGATTCAGTGGAGATGTGCAGGAGGAAGGGACTAGTAGTATATCTTTGGTGCTTTTTATCAACACTGTATTAGTTTCACAACTTTACCCCCTAGAGAAACATACTGCTCTTAGATGATGCTGAGCTGAATGTAAAATATGCCAGCATGGGATCTGGGCTTGTCACAGTTCATTCTTTCTTTTCATTTGGTTTGTAGGAAGTGGGCTTTTAACTCTACTTATCTTGTGCATAGAGAGAAAAAGGTCATACCTCTAGGAGCTGATAGTTTATTGGAGTTTTAGTCACCAAATTCAAGTAGTGTGTTTAGTTGAAGCTTGCAGCAGCACACACTTGGCTTTCGCATTTGTGTTAGCTTTGTTTCTAGTACAGAATTGAATAGGATAGAAGAGACGGTTTTCCTGTTTGTGTCTGTGGCAACTTTGTAGATGATTTGTGGTTAAATCCTTTAAACATTTTTGATCATTTATCACCTCTTTCACTGTAAGGGCATAAAGGAGTCTGTTTCTAATGTTATAATCTTTTAATCAGATTATTTAATTTTAGAGAAATCAAGGTCAGAATAGCAGTTGACACAGTTGCCTCTGAATAGTGACCTAAAGATTGTAATACTTATATTAGTTCTTTTTTTTTTCACCAGATTTTTTGGCCTTCCTTTATACTATCATATTTTAAATAAGATTTGTAATTGTGAGTCATGTATTTCTTGGTCTCTGGCCTCTTAAATAGGTATGTATATGACTTGGACTCCTTTTAAGTCTGATTTTTTAGAATGTTAATCTCTTACATGGCTTTTAAAAGGTTGGCAATATTGTACTCACACAATTTCTTTGGGCAATTGATCCATTCTTCAGCATAACTTTTGTTTCATGGGTCTTTTCAAGACCTGTCAAAGAAAACAAACGCCAACCTGACTTTAAAGGGGCAAAAATATCCCCCCTCCACTCCATGCTATATTATTCTTTGTTCTCTATGTGCATCAAAGTGACAATCCCACACTGTCTCAATTGAGGGAGTCTAGCACAAAAATAAAAACAGCCTGGCACTGTTCTAGGCTGGCAGCCAAGATGTTTTGTGTAGCTTGGTTCTGGCAGTAGTTTTCATAAGGCAGAGGGTCTACCCTCCCAGCATCACTGAAGGGTGGCATGCAGCCTTAGTCTTTCCTACTTAAACCATTTCTTTTCCCCCATCTTCCTCTATCTTCACAAAGACCACCATCATGAAAAAAAAATATTTTTTCTTAAATAGAAACATCATTCTCTTCACAACTTCTGCATTTAGTGAATGGCATTGTTCCTTATAGAAGCTTGTGTGAAGTTTGCCTTTTCCAGCTCTCTTAGAGTTCCTTCACAGTTGCATTTTTGCCGCAGTTTTCAGAAAACTCTTCTGAATATTGCTAACTTTGGACATGTTGACATAGAATTTCTGATTGGTTGAAATCTTGTCTTGCTTCACAGCTTATTATTTGAACAGAAACTCTTGATTGATCTGTATGTGTTGTATGGGTTTTTATGCCAAGATATCTCTTGTTGAGACCAAAAGGTCTGCCATTGTTTTCAATTTTTGTCTAAAACTCAGGGTCAGTTCATATCTTTTACAAATTGAGTACTCTTCTTTAGAATGTTGGGTAAGTATTTCTGGATAACCAGATGAACTTCCATTTAAATATAAGGGTGTGCACTTAAAATTTTTTTCTTTGAAATCGAAATGCAAGATAAAGCACAGAAGTGTTTTTAAGTTTCCCAATACTCTCTAAATTATAATTAGTGACCTACTAGTATAAGAGGTGTGGAAATATAGCATTATGATTTTTAAGCGATGATTTGAGCAGGAGACTAGATTTTCACTATGAGCAAGCATTCTATGAAATTTCGTAGAATGTTCCTCCAGATGTAAATGTTTTCTATTGTATTAAGCAAAAACAAATGATTTACTTTTGAGTGATCTATTTTAAAAATTAATGTTTCGCAATCAAGAATAGGTAAATAGGCAGGATATGTTTCTTAAGAGGAGATTGATATTATTTTGACTGCTTTTTATTTAAAAAGTTGTCAGTGATTTTTGGCAATAAGAAATTACTTTGGGAAGAAAAACTCATTTATTTTTGTGATTGCAACAAATGTGACTGAAAGGAAACAGTGGTTCGTGTTAAAATTATTAATGTAAAAGATTTTTAAATGCCATGTATACTGGGAAATACTATGTCTTTATAGTACATTAAGATAAACTTGTGCAATCGGACAATTCTTTATTTCAGAGATTTATTTTTAATTTAGAAAATGCTTTAAAAATCATTAAAAGGATTTGTAAAACAGGTAAATCAGAAGCATGCATTAAATAAACTCACCTGTTATTTTCTCTCATTCTCAAGACAGGTTCAACAACATATTGGCTCATTACTTTAACAAAACAAACAAATACTCAAATTGCCTTGTATGTAATGCACATGTAATAAATGCTGTGATTCCTCATTACCCCAATGTTTTTTTTTAACTTGTATTTGTAGTGGCTTATTTTATAGAGCAGCTGAAATGAATGTGGTGGGATGCCTGTTAAGTTATATCAATTAAATCTTTAGGTCAACATTTTAAGCGTCAGAATTATGACATTTTTTGAGAAGGAATGCCAGTGAAACTGTTTTTTTCTCTTGGTCCATTTAAATGCTTGACTGTCTGTCTGGAATCATCTGTGCCAAGGTCTGATAATATTAGAATTGGTGGTTAAAGAGAATACAGACCAAAAAACACTTTCATTCTGTATGTTCAAATATATCAAATAATGTTTATTGTATGTTAAATACTGTTCATTGACTTTAAATACATTCAGCGTTGTAATTTTTATTTGCAATTAAGCCCTTTATCTCTTCTATGGTAAGAATATATCTTTCATTGACTTCGGGATTGCAGTATGAATTGTCCTATTTATTCATTTATTCTAACTATACACAGAGGCATAGTAGAAATATATTTAAGATCTGTAATGTTTGAGCAGTTCTTTTGGTAAGTGCTGTTGAGTTTTCATTTTTGTATGTAATAAATTTGACAGTTTTGTTTAATTCAGAACACATATCAAAGCTATTATATTGTTATAGTTTGATGTCATACAGTTTGTAGGAATTATGATATAGTAACTTAATCATTATGTTTGTAGAGACATGGAAAAGTAAACTAAGGGATGTCAACAAAGTTGAATAAATACTAAATTTATTATTTTAACTAGGATTGTATTTTATTAAATACAATGTTTATAATTATAACTAGCATTTTATTTCATTTGAATATCAATACAGATTTTAAACATAACCGCTGGGCAGGTGATTTGAATATCTTGTTCGATGTCAAATATTGGTAACATATAATAACAAATAGTGATTTCTTAAGTTTATGTGGTCAAAGATATTAGTAATCTTCCCTTAAGCATATGGTACATGCTTCAGTGTTAAAATTCAGTAGAGAGTTCCCCTCCCCCATTTTTGATACATTTTAATTTCCTCTGCCCGACATCTTATCATTCTGTAGAATACTTTCACAAGTATTTCATATGTTTTCTGTGGCATCTCACACTGCTCACTTTTTATCCATGGTACCATATGAGTTCCCCCTTTTCAGATTTACGCTGCATATTTTAAGCTGCTGATAGTGTAAGTCGATTGCAAGGTAAAGTGACATTTAGCTTTTTGAGCTAGTCTCATTTTTAGCATGAGAGCAGGTTTTTTTTCCCTCCCCTGTCCTAAATCTTCTCATATTTCCCATTAAAACAATCTTACTAACACCAAACAAAGAAATTCAGAGATTTGGCTACAGCAGAAATTGAATTGCATCAAAAAGTGGCTACTACAATACAATTTTATTAATGAATGATCTACATTGGTTCCAGCTGTGTCCATGTGATTAGGCCTTCACCAGGCAACAATGGGTATTTCCCTATTGCTTTTATTTGATTTCCAAGAATGTGTCAT